CACGACTTCCGGAGAAAACGGAATTAGTGCGTCCCGGAGGCAAGAAAAGCATACCCAGGTTTCTCCGCACAAAGGGAGCCGCCGCCTTATGTTGAACCTGGCTACACCTAAACGGCAATTAACATAGAAGTAGCCAGCAGAAGTAGCCAGGTATGCAGGTAGGCGTAAGGAACCGCCTCGTTATCAAACCACAGCTTTCTACTTAACCTGATTTCGAGCTTCATTTTTTTTTTTTTTTTTTTTTTTGAAGCCTGTGTGTGGGTTTGGGGTTCTTTTCCAGGAGAGATTGCAACGGAAAAATTATGATCAACCTGCAGGGGAGTGTTTTCTTCGTCCTCAGGGAAAACGCCTTGGAAATTGCTAGTCGTCTTTGCTCCACAAACCCAAATTGCTAAGCTTCTCTAATTATCATTAACACCCAAAGTTTTTTTTTATTTGTTTTTGTATATAATCTTTGTTACTTCTTAGCTCTTGCAAGGTAAATATGAACGTTCATAATGGCTAATTATAAAACATCCTGTTCTTTTCCTTTACTTTCCTCTCACGAAACTAATTAAATAAATAAAACAATAATAGTAATAATATCATACTTATCAAAAGCTTCGCCTGCCTCGAGTAGCAAAGAACAGTAACCTCGACAAAGTTTAACCAAAAATATGAATTATTCAATCCCTACCCAACACGCTTCCCTTACGAGTCAATACACATCCATCCACCAAAGCCACAGCGCACCCTAAAGTAAAACGCAACCAAACTATGCAAAATTTTTCAATTGCAAACAAAAGTAAACCATCCTCCCCCCCCCTCCAATTTTCCTCCCTGTACCTACTAAACGCTCATCACCGACCGAGATTCTTCACCTTTTTTCTTTCTTTCTTTCTTTTCTCTTTTCTTTTCTTTCTCTTCGCTCACCAGGCCCCGTGCAGCTGTCTCAGTGCCAACAGGGTGAGTCGGGGAAGACTGTTTACGTTGTGTGATTTACAAAACATGAACCACTATTTGTCAAACATGTTCACTTTTTTATATTAATCGTGTATGGTTTTGGAAAATTCGTTGTTTCTTTCGAATGATGTAAGTTTTTTATTTAACGTTTGAGAGCATTATTTTAATTTCGTATGAATATTAAGGCAGTGATCATTTGAAACATGATTATTGCTACTATTACTGTCGGTTTTATTGTCATTAGGAGAAAGAGTACATAAATAATTTTGAACAATAATTTTCAGTATCAATAGTCATTGTTTGTGGCAATTACATCATTATAAATATCATTGTCATTCTCTACATTATCACTACTATTTCACTTCTCATTTCTGAACTCATTATTACCTCGTTCGCTATCATTATCATTACTAATACTATTACTATCAAAACCATTTTTGTTGTCCTTAAAATTACTGATATTATCGTTATCATCACCATCATCATCGCCATCGTCACTATAATTATATCATCGCCATTGTCACTATCATCATCATCGTCATCGTCACCATCATCATCACCATCACCGTCGTCGTCGTCGTCATCATCGTCATCGTCATCATCATCATCACCATCACCACTACCACCACCACCACCACCGTCATCGTCATCATCATCATCATCATCATCATCATTATCATGATCATAACTACCAACTTAAATATATATATACGGAATGATGATATATATAATATCACCATTTTAACCTCACCAGCATCACACCACAATTCATAATCCGTGATGAAAACACACTAGGAAAAATAATTGGAGGAAACTTTTATACACTATCTTCTTAAAAAGTAGGAAGAGGAACAGAAGGAAAATAGTTCTTCATCTACATCTACTGCCTGTGAATAATGACACTGGAATTTGCATAAATCCTAACGACTTGCATAGAAGTGCACTTCCTTAAGATTTGCAATGGGCATCATTACATATGCACAGCGAAACTTATTTTTGTATATGCATGTTCTCATCTTTACAGTATGAATATATGCGGCATATTTGCATTATGTATGTATGTATTATATACATATATATATATATATATATATATATATATATATATACATACATACATACATATATACATATATGTGTGTGTGTGTGTGTGTGTGTGTGTGTGTGTGTGTGTGTGTGTGTGTGTGTGTGTGTGTGTGTGTATGTATCATATATGTATGTATCATATATGTATGTATGTATGTATTATATATGTATGTATCTATGCATGTGTGCATGTATGTATGTATCTATCCATAGACACACACACACACACACACACACACACACACACACACACACACACACACACACACACACACACACACACACACACACATACACACATATATATACACACACACATACACACATATATATACACACACACACACACACATATATATACATATAAATATATATATATACACACATATATATATATATATATATATATATATATATATATATATATATATATATTACATTCCTAAACAATACAATTCCTTTTGTGACTCAC